GTTAAAAATAAAAACAATCTTAGGCTCACATAAAATATCTTTCTCGAAAATTATTTTTTTCACTTTTATTTTTTGGTATCGGTCGGTTGGAGTGTGTAAAATAATTTATTGAAAATTAACAGGTAAGTTATTTTTTTTTTTAAGTTTTAAAAAATTGATGGATAAATTATTTTTATTAAATTTTATTATATTTATATCTTAGTAAATATTTTACGACAACCGAACACCAAAACATATATATATATATATATATATATATATATATATATATTCTAAAAATATTTTACATCCAAATTCCAAACAAAGCCTGATGTATTTTCTCTGCCGATAAAGGAAGAAAATAAATAATAAAAACTCAGACCAGCCTTTCAATGGCAAGAGTTGGTTCTCAATCGTTACCGGCTTTGTTCTCAAATGGTATTCAGTTACCACCACCTTCCGACAGTTAAAAACTAAAACTTGAGAAATGCTTTGTACAACAGGACTTGGGCCTAGCTTAAGAAATACAAGAAAAAATACGATAAGATTTATTTTATCCATAGTACCGTATATATACACATGTATGCGGAAAGAAAGAGAGGTTAAATCCATTATTATTATTTGTAATATAAGAAAAAAATATTTGAAACCTTTGGCGGCTTTTAGGTGGCCATGTATGCTGTGTCTCGTTTCCATAGTTGTATGAATAAACTAGTTGAAGAAAAACTAAAAGTAGAATCATCGTATTTGAAGTTATATGGAAGCTGGCTGTCTACAACTATAAGCTTAAGCCCTCCATGGATGACCAGTGATATACCCTTAGAAACCAAATTGTCATGAAGAAAGATCTCCCAAAGAGTAATTACTTGGGGGAACAAAAAGTAATTATATATGATTTATCAAGTAATAAGTTCAGCATTTTAATAAATTTAACTTCAAGCTATCTTCATATATCGTGACAAATCAATGACATCTTATGGTTTCATTCTGGGTGACTCCAACACACACATATTCGGGAAGTTGGACGCTCTACAAACTAAGCCACCGGGTAATGCCCTGTGAGCATATAAAATAAGATGATAAGGTCCGAAACTAGGCCCAGGCTGACTGGCCAAAGCCGGACGGACTGGGAATTTGGGGTACCAACATATAAGGCTGTGGTGACCTAGCCCCGCCCTTTTGCATTCCATAGAACTAAGAATTAATTAAGTAGAAGTTCAAAAAATGAAAAGAAAGAAAGAAATAAATAAATAAATAAGTATGAGCAACAGTGTTTGGAGACCAACTTTAAATCAGAAAATTTTAGAAATTAAAACAATTAAAAGAAATTCTGAAACTATGTCAAATGTTATGGACACACCAGGCGTTCTATAGACTCTAATGTAAATTATACAAATTGATCTAGATTATAGCATGTATGAAGCAATGTCAGTAACACTATTCCAAAACTTTCAGCAAGTATAAAGGATGTAGCTTAGATAATTATATCTTCCAACATGCTCCTCAGGTGTGAGATTAGGCTCTCATTGTGAATGTGCCAAGCATGTGTAAACATAGTGGAGAAACAAGAAGAGATTTTTTTAATTAAGCTTCACCTTTTTTTCCCAATAATTTTTTAAAAATTAATTTCTAATTATCAAAGTTTATAAAATTCTGAAGTCAAATTTTCTTTCTTTTTAACCTTTCCTTACTGAATCCATGATCCAAGCGACCTGCACAAGGCTTTATGATGACTATTTCTGCTGAACTTTTAAAAGTGATGTAATAGACTTATAAACCATTCCCGAGCGCCAAAGACACAGAAACACCCTCAACATGTCATAATTGCTATGGCCATATGCCACAAAAAAACAGCTAAACCAACAATGTAGATTCAAAAAGACACCGACAAAACAAGTTACACTTCTTTATCTTTCCATTTCATCATACGAAAACCCATATAAAACATTCAAGAGCAGTCTCTTCAACCACACAATACAAATTGATAAGACACATAAAGATATTACCTGTAACAGAAAGACCGTGACCATGAAGAAGCTTCAGCTTCAGTTATAACGTGATGGAACCCAGCCTGCAAATACACTATAACAAAATGCCCAGTGTTTCTAATCCACAAGTCCACCCTGTCTGTAGCATACAATAGAATCAATTAGAGTTTCTTCCAATGGTCTATAACTCCAACCCATCCTCTGTAATTTTTCAGAACTCAGCCCTTCTTCTTCCTTTGCCTCAGTAAAACTGCCAATAAATAGATAAAACAAACTAATATAACAACAAACTTTCCTTAAGAGAGAGAGAGAGATCATTCCAGATGACGACTATATATATACATACACTACAGACAGATACTTACCTCGTAGGATAATTGTAGTTAGGATAGATCCTCTTTAGAATTTCCACCAAATTCTGCATCTTAATAATATGTGCTGTACATATGTATCTTCCTTCAGCTTCAGGCTTCTCATATGCCAATAACAACGCTTCAGCAACATCACGTACATCTACTATCATCCTAAGCTTGTTTTCCATTTCCTTGTATCCTTCTGTATGGTCACATAGAAGAAACACCACTCAGAACTGAGAAAGTTATGGCCTTTGGTGCTACATTTTTCACAAAGAAGCATATATAAAAAGAAAAAGAAATATGTGCCAAGGAAATTTTTTGTAATTTTAATCTATGAGGCTTGTGAAGTGGAAAAAATATCAACACGTAGTCTTAAGCAATCTGTATCATTAGTGGACACAATGAACTCCTTCAGAGAGTACTATGTTATTCTGAAAAGGATGGAGACATGACATCCATATAATGTAGATATCTGCTAGCAATTTACTTTTATACTCCTTTGACTAAAGAATGTAAAGTAAAAATATAGATAATTTAAAAAGCTTCATGCACAAAAACCTAAGCATCATGGTTTACTTGCATCTGGAGCACACTAGAATGTCTACATAAAATAGCAAAGAATATGTGAATCATATATGGACATAACATCTCCTTCAGAGTGGATATTTGAATACCCTGCTAAAGCTTTAACATAAATATCTACCGGTAATTTGTTTTCTTATTTTCTCTCCTCGTCTTTCCTCAGCCAAGAACAAGGAAGGAACTTTTGCAACTTAAGTAGCCAAGTTTTTCGATGCTTAAGTTGCAGGACTTTAAACTATTATTCAAATACTAACATATCTTGGCACTCTAGACAGTGATATTAGGAAATACCCACTCTGACTCTATGCCTGGTGATTTTATTGACTATAATCTTCCACACAGTCCAAGGAACAATAAATTACAGAGTAACTAAAGCTTTAACATAAATAAAAAAATTAAACCCCGGTTACCCATCCGTCATTATGTATTCCCACATTTCCATGATACAATTGCACTTTTGAATAAAACCTTCATACATTGACAGTTTGAAACCGCAAAACAATTGGAATCACAGATTTTATTGCAATATCGGTAGCAAAGTAGAAATGAATTCTGTACCGTCTACATAATCAGGGACTCTTTTTGTCACGGTGTCTTGAACCACAAGCCCAGTATGTCTGTTCCAGAGGCCAGAGGAGAAGGCCTATGCAGCTTTTCCTAATCCCTGACTGGGCTTTAAGGGCAGCTCTCCTGGTTTGTTTGTTTGGGTTCTATTTTTGAGTTTTTCTTTTGTATTTTTCCAATTATATGTTGAGGTTTTAAAAGAAGAGCAACCATTTGTAATATTTTGTTTTTAAGGTTGGTGAGGTAGGAGGCAGCAATCTTGTAATTTTTTTTATCCATTATAAAATCTCATGTTTCCATCTGTGATAGTGGACTTTAGCCAAACCAGACAATCCATTGTCCGTGTTTTTTGCTTTTGCATCTTTTTCTTATTTATTTTTTTATCCTTGTTTCTTAACAACTCTCAACTAAACATCAAATTAAATCAGTCTGTTATAAGTTGGTGCATTTTAGTACAAGTAAAGTTGTTGGCTGTCCCAAATTTGATATTATGTTAAATGGTGGACCTTGGAATAGATTGAAGTATACCACTTGGGATTTCTTGCAGCTGTTAAATAGCTTGATTAATGGCCTGCAGAAAAACAGAACCATGTTATACATTTTGCAGAATGGTACCTATGTTCTGGCAGATTTTTTATTTTTTATTTTGATTTAGAATTTTTTTTGGAAATTCAAGCAAACACACACCCACTATATATTTTTGCCCCCACCGTGGCTCGAACGCGTGGATTGAAGTATACCACTTTGCTACTATTGGTGAAAGGTGTTGAAAGAGTTTTTACTTTGGTAGAGTTGGCTTTGTAGTAATAATCTGCTTGTATCCATAAATTGTGTTTGCTTTCTTTTTTGGTTTTTGTTTGCTCTGTGGATTTGGGGATTCCACGATTTGTAATTGATGAGAGGGGTATGCCCCTTATGGGATGTCTAATTTGGTTTAGTCTTTGTTTGTTATATTAAATGCTACCTTTTCAAAAAATAATAATAAAAAAAAAAAATTAGTGTTTGAAAGAGTACAATGAATGTCCGAAAGAAAGAACTTTTAGGATCACCTACAACTCAGCCACATTCTCGGAGATCCATTAATATTGAAAACTATTAGCAGGGAAACACTGATCTTTTGAGGTTTAAAATTGACAAAATCAAGCATGACCTTAGCTTCTAAACATTGACTATGGGCTACAGCCTAAGGGTACTTCCTCACCTTCCAAAGTAGAAGGTCGAGTGTTCAAGTCCCCATAGGGGCAAAGTGGGTGTGTTAGTGTGTTTCTTGCCAAGGTAAAAAAAAAAAAAAAAGTTTCTAAACACCGATGGAAAACACATATTCTAGAGGTAAAACATACATAGACAAAAAAATACAAAAAGTACTGCATGCAACAAAGAGTCAAAATGCAGTCTCCAATTTTTAAGCTCCACAGATGCATATATATAGAAACACACAAACAGAGACCTATATATATATATATATAACCTAATACATGACTTCTACTTGAAATCTTAAAAAATAAAATATACTATATATATGGTTCGGTACCTTTCAAGAGCTTAAGGAGAACCAGACTGCTAGCATTTGTTGTGGACTGCAGCAACGGCCCCAACACGAGGGTTGGACATACTGTTACAACATCAAGTCCACTTCTTTTAGCAAATTCAAAAGCCTCAGTTTCTGCTGCTGTTTTGGAAAGACAATACCAGTTCTGAAAAAAACATAGAATCCAAGATGGCATTATAAAATTAAATAACTCTTACAAAACCTACCATTAAAACTATTATGCAATATTCTCAGTAGATGATGCTTTACAATCGAACATTAAATCTATCAAAATTCAAGTATATACTAAGGACTTATTCAACTCATTACATTAGTAGTTCTGCAGTACTCTTTATCAGACCAACAAGTCTCATCCTTCACTTTACCCTTGGGCCAGCTAGGGTTCAAGGAAACAGCAGCTCCCGAGGACACAACCACAACTCGCTTGACATTTGCTTCGGAACATGCCTTGAGTACATTAAGTGTGCCCTTAACAGCAGGCTCGATCAATTCTTCCTGCAATGAAGCTATTAGATACTGAGAGTGAAAATAACTCATCCAGTGCATAATCCTTCGAATTTCAATGGAAGTTGAATATACAATGACTAGACAAGGCTCATCATACTTAACAACTCAATGAATCCTTTTCCTAACTATTTGGGGTTGGCAATTCTCAGGATATTGTAATTGTGTCAATCCCTTAACAAGATGTCTCTCCAGGGGAACATCAAAACATCTTTACAGAAATGAGGAAGTCAACAATTGTCGTTTAGCCACCTGATGGATGCCACTTAAGAGAATACTTGTATAAAAGTCTACAAGGTTGGATTATTCTCATATTGTCATAACTCTTTCTAGTAACATTCTAGTAAGTTGCTTCACCGTAAAATTAAAACCAAAACCAAAAATCATGCAATGAAGTTGATAACCAAAAAAAAAAACAAACAAACCAACTACCCAGTGCTAGTCCTGCATGCAACATACAGTGTGGTAAACTAGATATAGACCCCACATTTGACATTATTCCTCAACAAAATTAATAATGACATACAGAAATACTTTACTATGGTATCCACATAGCAGTAGTTTGTGGACAGGTTCTTTAACCTAGGAAACTGATGGGTCAGGTTAATATGGAAGAAAGAGAGAGGGAGAGGGAGGGGGAAAGCAGCAGTGGTTAGTCTAATCACTTAATTCCAGTAAAACAAAGGTCCAAATGCTTATGCCAGTTAATTCAATTAAATGAACTGACTGCAGATATTTCTGACCAAAGAGGACCTGCTTCCTTAGTCATCCATAACATTAAAAATGAGGGTATCCATTGAATCAGAAACCAATAGAAGTGTTATATCGCCAAGCATGATTGGTCCTAATAAAAGAAGAAGGATCATGATGTATTCTTGCCTCAGGATTTGGCACACTGCCAGCAGGAACCGGACTGGCAACATGAAACACTCCACTGCAATCTGTGAAGGCCGCAGAAAGAGAGTTGTAATCAAGCAGGTCCGCCTTGATGAGTTTCAAGTTCTCAGATGCTTTCTGAAGTTTCTTCAAATGAGAATACTTGTCAGCACCTATAATATACAATTGAGGAATTTAGAAGCTGATTCACAAGAATCTTTCAACTAAAAATGCTTATTTTTTCCTCTTATCTTTTTTTATTTTATTTTTTGGATGATGTGGGTTATGGGGAGGGGTGGAATAGTAAGGAAAAACAAGACAAGAGAACGGTCAAGGAGATAATGTAACAAATCATACATTATGTTACATGGTCACCACATTTTCTGGATTCCTATAGACACAAGGTAATAGGAGCCACTACAACAAACATATATATGTCCAATTCATTACCTAACTATATAGGTAAGGAAATCCAGCGAGCTCAAATTGGCATGTATAGCATTTTCTTATAGCAAAAGCCATGCTGTGGCGCCATGTGAGGACGGGAGGCAAAAATGGGGTGTCTACACATGTCATAGGGAAAAATTCAACAGACTGTAATTAGAAGTTATGACGGATGGTTATGCACCCAATCCTACACCCTCCGTACAAGTAACATAGAATCAAACACCTTGTGCGGCAAAATTCGGTTCCAAATTAAGTATGGAGGAATCTTGACCCGATATAGAAGAAAATGACTAATCCTTTTTTTTTATATTTCAGATTGTAAGGCGTTTCCACTACATAAGAAAAAGTGGAATAAGTGTTTTTTTTTCCTCCTCGTCGGATTGATCAAAAAAAAAAAAAAAAAACCTAACTTCGCAAGGACAGCAGAAAAAATAAGAAATCAAAAAACCTACCAGGTCGAAATATATTGCTTCGATTAATAATCCATCAGCTCAGAACTCGCACACAAGAAACTAAATGAAAACAAACAAAAAGACGAAGAAAATACAAATCGAAAACCTAATTGCTAAAAGAAATGAAAACAAGCTATAATGAATTGAATTGATTGTATGGTAATAACGCGATGAAGATGAGAGAGAGTTTACTTGGATCTCTGACAGTTCCGTAAATAGTATAGTTCTTGGACAGGAGAAGCTTCACCAGCCACGAAGCCACGTACCCTCCAGCCCCTGTTACACACACTCTACTATTCTCCGCCATTAACACACAGTGACACACGCAAAGACCACTCTCAAAAACACACAGATGACTTTCTCTTACTCGCTTGCTTTCTACTTTACCGTTTGCATTGTCTTCCTTTAGAATTCATACTCTCATTAACACGGAGGAGGGCGCAAATCCTCCGCTGTTTATAAACATGTGGTCCCCTCCGGTCCACGTTGTTGACGCGTTGGTTTTGGCCACGTATTTTGTAGTTATAATATAGGATTTTTTACCAATAAATGAAATATTACAATACAACGATGTCAATTTCTTGATTTATAAATAAAATGAGGGACCACACAAACTTTTTCTTACAAATGAAAGGACCACATAATTATTTCTCTAAAATGAAATGATATTCTACTTTACACCATACAACAAGTTATATTGTCACTTTGACCCAACAGAATATATGATTATATCATAAAAGTTTTAAAACATAAAATAAGCTTACTGAAAGATCCTTGAACAAACTTTTAATATTTTTCTTACTAAAGTAAAATTTGTAATAAATTAATATGGACTTATAGACTTCTTTAGATAAAAGATTTTATATATAAATTAAATTTAACGAAACAGTATATGCTCTGATACCAAAATTGAGTTGGATCCAACATGATAGAAGCATGCAAAATAAACATAGAATAAATTTAACAATTAAATTACAAAAATGACTACCGAACCTAATAAAGCTCTGATAACGCCCTGTAAAAACGCCTAAACACCGGCAAGAACGGGCCAACAAGCCAACAGTTCGAGTCAACTTATAGAAGAAATTGCCAATTTAATTCTAAGGCTGCTTGTACTGGTTGGATTCAAGAAAATTCTAGGATCTACACTGTCTGGCTAAATAAAATTGATATATTTGATCTTTTTGTCGACTGAAGTCTTTTGCCCAAAAGTACTTATAATACTAAATTGGGATTAGAAAATTTTGAATAAGAACAAACTGGATAATTTATTTCATATATACATGGATACACATTGTTTATACATGGATACACTCTCACACTATTTATTGAAAGAAGTCACAAAACAAACTGGAAACTAAAGGCTGGAATGCTTGATGGTTCTAGACTTGATTGTTCTAGAACTCGATGATCTTTGCTTGAGCAGAGAAGTTCTTTTTATATAAAAGGAGGGGAATGAAACTTCGGCTGAGCTTGAAAATGTTGCATAGACGGTTGAGATGCAAGATGCTTTAGAGATAAGATGGCATGAATTATTGTTGAACTATTAATGTCGGCTTCTGGGGAATGTTATCTACTTTTACTGTTGAGAATCTACTTTTGGTGGATCTGTTTTTATCTGTGACCTGTTGCGAATCTACTTTTCTTGGATGCTGAAGTTGCCTTTATCTGTACATTGTGGCGAATCTGCTTTTCCTTGGATATTTTTAGAATTCTTGCATATTGGACAAATTTCTGTCAGTAGTGCTATTTGTTGGGTTATCATTTCTTTCTCTTTCATGCATGCGGGCCAAATATGCATCAGTGCTGTCTAGTGAGCTGGTTTCTTCATTTCTATAGGTGAGTTCAAACTGTTCCAGCAACATTTTTTCTTCATTTATAATTTCTTCAACTTCTGGAGATATCTCAATCTCTGGAGGAGACTTAATGAAATGCGGAATTCTTGTTTTGACAAAAATTTCCATGTTGATATTATGGTCATAGAGTCTGAAACCAGGATTGTAGCTTAGGTTAATTTGACGATAGGCTTTATAGTATACCAAATGGTTAAAGGTAGTTGGTTCTATCTCATTACGAAAGTTATTTACAAAATCAATATGTTGGGTAAGAACTTTGACTTCTATGGGATCAAAATGAATGTAAATTCGATGCTGTCCCAAAATTATAGCTCCATCTTTTACCCATTCTGGAGGAATACTATGGATTTGAAGGAGAATTGGATATTCTGGCATGAAATTTTAGGTTAGTTTCTGTTCGAAGGCAATAGCTTGGTTTAAACAGTTGGGAAAGTTACCTAAAGAATTTATATATTCTAATGGCATATCTTTTGGTATGGTGATGCCATAGATCATTCCTAATTCTAACAGCTTGCTTAAATAACAGATGGTTGTTTTTGTAGAGAAAATGGTTTTTCGGGTTATTTCAAAAGGATAGAAGAAAACAATATCTACATCTAACAAGATAATGGCCATGGGTACAAGGTTTCCTGTTTGTATAAACCGTAGGAAAAAATAGTTATAACGGGTTCCTTTAGGTGGACTATTATTTCTGAGGTAGTTTTGGATATCAACCCATTCATTGAAACCATCAGACTTATCTTCTTCGAGGATAAGATCCTTGAGATCATCAGGAAATAGCTCAACTTGTTGTCTCAGAATTTCTCTGTATGTTGGAGAGAAATGGAGTAATAACTTGGCATATTTGGTTTGTACCTGCAGAAATTGAACTTTTTGAAGATTTTCATCTTCATCAGTGATTTACTCAGAAATAGTTAGTTCTGTGGGGTTTGCTGTCGTTCTTTGATAAGCTAAATTTAACTTTTTATAATGAGATATAAGCGTCTCATGTTCTTACTGTAAATTCTGATATGCTTTATTAAATGATACAAAATATTCACTTAAAGTATATAGATTTCTGACGAGGGTTCTATTGGGGTTGTTTCTAGAAAACCAAATATTATCTAAAATAAGTTTTTGGTTAGGAAAAATATTATGTCTAGCGCGGAACTGTTGAGCGGGGTTTTGGATAATCAAAAGAGGATTAGAAGTGCCTGGTATAAGGCTATAACTGTTGTTGCTCTTTGTTTCCATTCCTGCAAAAATTAACAATCAATTAGTAAACGGGATAGAATATCTGCTAAATAATTGTCTTTTCCTTTGACATGTTCAAATATGGGTTTAAAACCTCTTCCAGTAATACAGTCAATAAATGAAATCCATCTTTTTGCAGACATCCGCTGTTGCTTTGCTTTGTTTGCAAATTTAACTATATTATCACAATCTGTTCTTATAAGAAATTCTTTATCAAGGAATATCTGAAATTTCTCAATAGAGTTGGTTACTCCTAAAATTTCCAGGTCGGTTGAAGGTAAGGTAGATTGTACTTTATTAAAAGTTCCACTAGCATGGCGACAAATTTGTTCTTCATCTCGAGAAGATTCTTTTGTAGGTCTTTGAAGAGGTAAACCTGCCCATCCTTGAGCTGATGCATCTGTTTGAATTATTTTATAACTATTTTCAAGGGGGAGTTGTAAAGGTTCTAATTAGGAGACTAAAAATTTAATTTTCTTAACTAACTCTATGTCTTGGGTATTGAAATTTTTTTGACCATGTTTTCCTAATTTTGAATACAAAGGTCCCACTAATTGTCCTAATTTATGAATAAAATTACGACCATAATTTAATAATCCTAAAAATGCTTGTAGTAATTTGGTTTCTTCTAATTTATATGGAAAGTCTAAAATTTTCTTGACAATATGTAATTGTAATTCGACCCTTCCATCCTTTATGTATAGACCTAAACATTTAATGTCTTGTTTTTCTAATATCATATTTTTACTGTTTATAATGAGTCCCTGTGTTATAAATTCGTTAAACATAACTTCAAGATATTTTCTATGTTCTTCCTTAGTCTGACTGAAAACTAAAATATCGTCTATGTAAACACAACAAAATTTTGAGTGTTTATTGAATATAGTATCCATTTTGCATTGAAATTCTTGTGGAGAATTTTTTTAATCCAAAAGGTATAACAAACAATTCATAATGTCCTTCGGGACATGTAAAAGCAGTCCATTCGATGGATTCGTCAGCCATACGGATTTACCAAAATCCTGATTTACGGTCAAATTTAGAAAACTATTTTCTATCTTGTATTTGATTTATTAAAACATCTTTATTAGGAATTTTATAACTATCATCATAAGTATTATCATTTAATCTTTTATAATTTATAACCATACGAGCTATCCCTCTTTTTATCTCTGCATGATTTCTAACCATAAAAGCTGGACTCCTATGTCTACAATTACTTTTTCTTATTACTTTTAGTAATAAAAGTTCTTTAATTTGTTTTTGAAATTCTTCTTGATCGTCTAGGGTATAAGGATTGTCTTGTGTCTTTATAGTTATCAAAAGGATTTATTATGTTTGATTTTGCTTCAATTTTATTTTTATACCAGTGTTTTTAAGGATCTTCGCCTAGAATCTCTGGGGTTTCAGCTAGTCGTATAAAATTGTCAATGTTTGGTTTGGGGTTTTTTAATATAGCTTTATTATTAAGGAAAATTTTTAGTTCATCTAGGTGACTAAGAAACATTAAGGCTTCAGAAATGTCTTCTAAAATTTCGGATACATCAAATAAATTTTCTGTAGTTTCTTCTGTCATAGGTAAAGTATTAACATAAGTAATGACTCCTTTTTCTTTTTGAGGAATATAAGGATCTCTAGATGGAATAAAGGTTCCTTTCTTAAAAAACTGTAAACCTGTAGGGGTATACATGAATCCTCCAGTGAGTGAATTTATAAAATTTAATCCTAGAATAAAATCATAAGTACTGGGAGTATGTAATACGCCTAAAACTTAAAAAGGATATAATTAGAATTTTATTATTTATTTTATTATTTTTATTATTTTTTTATTATGTTTGAGGTGCTTACATGGCTAGGTGTTGATAGGTTTAATTAAAATAATTGATTATTGATTTACATTTATTATTTACAATTTGAATTAAATGGATTTAATTGTTTTATGTGAATTCTTTGAATTATTTAAATTGTGTTCTATTTAATTTCCACTATGGTAAGATTAGGTTAGGGTTTTAGTGTTATTATCACCTTCATTTATGCAGCCGACGTTGGTATAATATAGGTTGGTCTATGGGCCGGATAAATCATTTAGGGTTTAATGGAACCTAGAATTGGTGGTCTATAAATATACTAGTGATGTTCTGCCTAGGGTTGAGGGTTGTATTCATGATATAGAAAAGGCAAAAGTAATTTGGGAGAAGTCTGGGAAGCAACAGAGAGGGAAGAAACAGGGGGTTGGCCGGAGACTTTAGGACGACGTCGATGTAAGGCAAGTTCTAATCCTAACTCTATCCCATTGATTCGTGTTCTTTGCATGTCTAACACAACTCCAAGGAACTGTTAAGGATTA